GAAATTTTGCCTGGAAATTTTGATTAGCAATAGGTGTTATATGATAGAATATTGCCTTAAGTGTTTCAATGGAATACTGCAGTTCAGTTTCAATTTGGCTTCTATTCAATATTATACTGAGACAAACTGTGTTTGATAATTGCAAAACGACTGTCTTAATGAGTGTAACGTGTTTTTGCAATGAAAACAAAAGTAATGAGGTAATCATTCTGAGAAAAGGTTTATGGGAGGTCACCGTATCACTATAATTATAATTTCAAAATTTGCCATCTTTAAAAGTCAATTTAGAATCAAAACGCTAATGGATTCCAAGGGATTGAAAATTGAAACAAGCTCACGAACCTCCAGCAAAATTGCAAACAGAGTCAAGGTCACCGTTGTAGATCAACATACGCAGCTTATATCCACTGTTAACGATGTTATCAAAAACTGGAGAAGTATCACCATTTTGCTTTATGTAGTGATCGCTGACAAAATCACTTAAAACCATTCATCAGTATCAGTCTGTTCTGATCTTTCACGTTTATGTGAATGAGATGATAGCTGAATGTGCTTTTTACCTCGAGGAGTTTTTCGAGCATCAGCGAAAAATGCTTAAATGAAACTTTCGCATGACTTGACAAAAGGGGAGCAAAGTAAATTCGCGTAGTTTCCGTTCTTGTAACATCTAGCTTAACTCTCGATAATCATTTAAGAACATAATGAACAGAAACAAATGCGAAAAAAAAACGACCGCAAATCAATCGCGATGAATATCGCTGAACATAATTTTCTCGGATGTTTAAAGTTTCTAACAACTGACTAACGAAATTTGAAGCGCAGAGTTTCCGTCGCGAACGCAAGTACATATTCGGATGTTAATCATCAAAGTGCATAAGATCTAACCTGCATTCGCTGTAATTCTGCACTTGCGGTGGTATGTGAAGTGCTGCACGAACATCGGCCATGTTCAGCCATTGCTGTGTTCTCTGTGTGTTATAGCATTGGAATGCTCCTTGACTGTCCGTTGATGCAAAATTTATTTTGGTCTGGAAATAACCACTATTTCATGAGGCTCAATTTAGTGTCATTATGCACAGATACTGAAATTGCTCGACCAAGAAGCATGCATTGGACAGAACCAGTGCTTACTGTTAGTGAAATATGGTATTCGATCTCATTTAAATGCAGCAATGTCTGATTGTGTCTGATTCAATGCTTTGATTGTACGTTTGCTTTGCATGGCTGTTT